TAGCCTACACCTGTAATGATATTTAGTTCAGGGATTATGTCCACATGTAGCCTACACCTGTAGGGATATTAGTAGTTCTGGGAATATGTCCACATGTAGCCTACACCTGTAAGGATATTTAGTTCTGGGATTATGTCCACATGTAGCCTGTAACCTGTAATGATATTTAGTTCTGGGATTATGTCCACATGTAGCCTGTAACCTGTAATGATATTTAGTTCTGGGATTATGTCCACATGTAGCCTACACCTGTAGGGATATTAGTAGTTCTGGGATTATGTCCACATATAGCCTACACCTGTAAGGATATTTAGTTCTGGGATTATGTCCACATGTAGCCTGTAACCTGTAATGATATTTAGTTCTGGGATTATGTCCACGTGTAGCCTGTAACCTGTAATGATATTTAGTTCTGGGATTATGTCCACATGTATCCTGTAACCTGTAAGGATATTAGTAGTTCTGGGATTATATCCACATGTAGCCTACAATTGTAAGGATATTTAGTTCTGGGATTATGTCCACATGTAGCGTATACCTGTAGGGATATTAGTTCTGGGATTTGTCCCCAGGGAAAGATCTAACAGCGGACATAAGGAGAGATGAGACAAAACTAGCCAGTTATAGAACATTGTCTTGTAGTAGAGCTGAGCTGACTGAAGATCTTCGGCATTCAACTCGCAGTAGTTGATATTGTTTCCATGGTAACATGTATTTACATGATATGATACAACTTGAAACTAAGTTGCAAGCTACTTTTGTAGCACGGTGTCGTACAGTGAGTGTTTTATGAAACATTCCAGACACAGTTCTTGCCATCACTGACTTGACAGAGAAATGCTAGCTAGCTGCTATCAACTTGGCCTACACAGAACTGAATTAGCTGACCATCAAATACCAATAATATATACTTAAATATACAAAAATTTCAAATAATATACTTCAAATAAAGCATGTACTTTTCTATTATACAGTGCATTTGGAAAATATTCAGACCCCTTGACCTTTTCCACATTTTGTTACGTTACAGCCTTATTCTAAAATGGATTAAATTATTTTTTGTCCTCATCAATCTACACACAATACTCCATAATGACAAAGCAAAAACAGTTTTTTAGAAATGTTAGCAAATGTATTAAAAATAAAACACAGAAATACCTTATTTACATAAGTATTCAGACCGTTTAATATGAGACTTGAAATTGAGCGCAGGTGCATCCTGTTTCCATTGATCATCCTTGAGATGTTTCTACAACTTGATTGGAGTCCACCTGTGGTAAATGAAATTGATTGGACATGATTTGGAAAGGCACACACCTGTCTATATAAGGTCCCACAGTTGACGGTGCATGTCAGAGCAAAAACCAAGCCATGAGGTTGAAGGAATTGTCCATTGAGCTCCAAGACAGGATTGTGTCGAGGCACAGATCTGGGGAAGGGTACCAAAAAATGGAAGCATTGAAGGTCCCCAAGAACACAGTGGCCTCCATCATTCTTAAATGGAAGAAGGTTGGAACCATCAAGACTCTTCTAGAGCTGGCCACCCGGCCAAACTGAGCAATCACGGGAGAAGGGCCTTGGTCAGAGAGGTAACCAAGAACCAGATGGTCACCAAGACAGAGCTTCAGAGTTCCTCTGTGGAGATGGGAGAACCTTCCAGAAGGACAACCATCTCTGCAGCACTCCACCAATCAGGCCTTTATGGTAGAGTGGCCAGATGGAAGCCATTCCTCAGTAAAAGGCACGACAGCCTGCTTGGATTTTGCCAAAAGGCACCTAAAGACTCTCAGACCATGAGAAATAGATTCTCTGGTCTGATGAAACCAAGATTGAACTCTTTGGCATGAATGCCAAGCGTCATGTCTGGAGGAAACCTTGCACCATCCCTACGGTGAAGCATGGTGGTGGCAGCATCATGCTGTGGGGATGTTTTTCATTAGCAGGGACTGGGAGACTAGTCAGGATCAAGGGAAAGATGAACGGAGCAAAGTACAGAGAGATCCTTGATTGAAACCTGCTCCAGAGCGATCAGGACCTCAGACTGGGGCGAAGGTTCACCTTCCAACAGGACAATGACCCTAAACACACAGCCAAGACAACACAGGAGTGGCTTCATGACAAGTCTCTAAATGTCCTTGAGTGGCCCAGCCAGAGCCCGGACATGAACCTGATCGAACATCTCTGGAAAGATCTGAAAATAGCTGTGCAGCGACGCTATCCATCCAACCTGACAGAGCTTGAGAGGACCTGCAGAGAAGAATGGGAGAAACTCCTTAAATACAGGTGTGCCAAGCTTGTAGAGTCATACCTAAGAAGACTCGAGGCTGTAATCGCTGCCAAAGGTGCTTCAACAAAGTACTGAGTAAAGGGTCTGAATACTTATGTAAATGAGATGTGTCCATGGTTTTTTATTTATACATTTGGTAACATTTCTAAAAACCTGTGTTTTGCTTTGTCATTATGGGGTATTATGTGTAGATTGATGAGGGGAAAAACAATTTAATTCATTTTAGAATAAGGCTGTAACGTAACAAAATATAGAAAAAGTGAAGGGGTCTGAGTATTTTCTGAATGCACTGTATCTTAAGTATGCCATCATTACACTTCAACACACATATTTTTGTATGTTTTTTCAGTCTTTCAGTATGTATATATATATATATATATATATATATATATATATATATATATATGTATATATATATATGTGTGTTCACACTTAAACATACTCATTAAAACCTCAATGTCAATACGGTTTCATTACAATTTAGTACATTCATTCAAAATACACTTGGAGTTGTTTTTTAGTAGAAGGATAGATTTTTTTTTTATTAAATTCTACTCGTGAGTTATCAAGTACACTATAAGTATAGTTTCAGTGCCAATAATGAGTTTTGAAGTACTTTCTGAATTCATGCAGAGAATGGTGACAATGATTGTCTATTCCACAGCTGAGGAACATGCTTCCTGACAGTATACTTTTTTTAATATCTCAAGAAAATATACTTAAGTATACTTTCCAAAAAGTATATTTAACTTAAAATGTCCATAACATTTATTAGAAGCATACTTTCAAAAACGCATGTGCAGAAAAAATAGCATATAACCAGCATCCTTTTCTGCAGCTGAAGTTTTGATTTATAATATAGTTCCTCATGTTTATCTTGTTCAAATATTTTGTTCATTTTCCAACTGAATAATGTTTTAATTACACATTTTATTGAAATGTACATTTATCACCGTAATGTGAACAACTCAAGTGTGAAATGCGATTGGTGCACAGTTATCAAAAATGTTACTTGTAAATTGTTGCTCCAACCACGACTGCTTTCTAAATAGCGTGTTAACATTGGCTGAGAAGATGCCTTGGTCAATGAAGATAACATACACATGGCAATTTGTAGTACAATAGCTAATGTGGTTAATGAGTAGAAGTGTATTTGTAAAAGTAAACTTGAAACACATTATAAATATATATAAATACACTATTTGTAAATAAATTCATGAATTCTAATACCATTTTAGCATACTTTTAATATACATTAAATGTACTTGATGTGTATTGAAAGTATATTTGTTTTGCGCATTATTTAATATACTTAAGTACAAAAAACTATTTCAATATACTTAAATTGTATTAAAATACAAATGAAATTGACATTAAATGTATAAAAAAAAATCTAATTTAGATCATTTTAAATATGCTTAAGTATATTTTTCACGGTCATACTTAAATATATTAAAATCAATTAATTAAATATGATTTAAGTGTATTTATATATAAGCATTTTCCACTTGGGTTTAGATATACTGGTAAAGTAACCAGGTTTTTTTATTTAACTAGGGAAGTCAGTTAGGAACAAATTCTTATTTACAATGACGGCCTACACCGGCCAAACCCGGACGACGCAGGGCCAATTATGCGCCGCCCTATGGGACTCCCAATCACGGCCGGTTGTGATACAGCCTGGAATCGAACCAGGGGGTCTGTCGTGACGCCTCAAGCACTGAGATGCAGTGCCTTAGACCGCTGCGCCAGTAGCTAGCTAGTTAATGAGGCAACATCACTGAACAAGGTGTAAATTACCCGTGACATGGTTTATGAACAGAGCCTAAAAATTAAATTTTTGATTTAAAAAATCTACCAGCCACTAGGAATTCTAACCAGCCAATACATTTATTCGCCATAATAACACTCTCAAAATCACACTTGAATAGAAAAACAACCAATTGTATCTTCTAATACCACAACAGGAGACCACTTTTGAGGTCTATGGAAGAAAAGGAAAAAATAGGGTATAGTTGCCCGTTAATTTAAATTGCAGACCTCAAGAGACTGGTGTTTGGCAGGCTGAGTTTCTGTAGTGCATGCACAATCAGGGGCGGACTTAGTGATTTGGAGGTCCGTCTCGCAGCGGATTCTTCAATTGTTTGCGATTCCACTCCGTTGTGGACGTCCCCATTGAAGTCGCTCTTATCCAGAGCGACTTACAGTTAGTGAGTGCATACATTATTTAATTTTTTTCATACTGGCCCCCCGTGGGAAATGAACCCACAACCCTGGCGTTGCAAAGGCCATGCTCTACCAACTGAGCTACATCCCTGCCGGCCATTCCCTCCCCTACCCCGGACCAATTGTGCACCGCCCCATGGGTCTCCCGGGTCGCAGCCGGCTACGACAGAGCCTGGATTCAAACCAGGATCTCTAGTGGCACAGCTAGCACTGCGATGCAGTGCCTTAGACCACCGCGCCACTCGGGAGACTATGCATAACATCCGCAACATAACAGAGTGCTTATGGGCAACTAGGCTTAATGCTAGTGGTTGTTGAAGTGCTAGCTAGGCTAACACCCTGATCACACCGACAGCGTACACCAGAAGTATATTAATTTCCAATGAAACGCTGCGTTTGCCTTGCAGCATTACTTAACCCACCCTGACCCACCATCCTGTTTCCCCATACAGACAGACCTCTGTCCATCCAGCGTGTGTCTCTGCAGAGCAGAGTGTCCATATCCTGCCCTAACATGTCAGGGGAGGATCTGAGGTTCCACCTGTCTGTGAACCAGTGCCTCGTTCACACCACACTGCTCCAGAGGAACCAGAGCCACACCAGAACCAACCAACCAGACACCTGGGCCCAGTTCTTTCTAGTTGACCAAAATCTGAACCAGAACTTGACCAACCGCTATGTGTTCACGGTCAACAGCACAGGCGTGTACACCTGCAGAGCAGAAAGGATGTGGTCTCCGCCTTATCAAGAGGACTCTGTTCACACTCTATTGATTGAAGGTAAGGGACCGTCTACAAAGCAGTTGCACTGCACAAAGATCTGTTTGTGCTCTTGCTATCTCGATCGCTGTCATTGGCAATGAGTGACAGGGAGTTGGCATGATAGCACAAACAGTTTGAAAATGAAAGTGACATGGTCATGGTACACAACATCCCTGGTGAAGCCTGGTTGTGGCTGGGCTGTGAAGTGGATGAATTATGGCTTCTTATTACTGGTTTCGAGTACGTTCTGATTGGTTCACAGAGAAGCAGTGTCTGACACACCGAGATCCACTGGCCAATCAAGATCAAGATCTGCTGGCCAACCAGAATTGTACAGAGGTTCCTAAACACCTCCCACTGTGTCCATTATTGGTGGGATGTGGGGCTCTCTACAGCATCATCATCACCATCATCACCGTCGTCATCTGGGTCAGTACTCATTTCATTTCATGTTATTAAGGAAGGCAGGGGGAAACAGCAGCAGAGCTCCATATTTTTTGTTGTTGCAGAAGGTACGGTTGTTTAGCTATCGAGAAGAGGTGTCCTGGGAGTCTGGTCACTCTGTTTAGTACTCTAGCCAGGAAACTCAGCAGCCATTTTGTTTTCCAGGGAGTTCAGGGAGTCCTGGGATCTATAAAAAAAAAATGCTTTTAGTTTAGTTTTATTTTAATATACAGTGGGGAGAACAAGTATTTGATACACTGCCAATTTTGCAGGTTTTCCTACTTACAAAGCATGTAGAGGTCTGTAATTTTTATCATAGGTACACTTCAACTGTGAGAGACGGAATCTTAAACAAAAATCCAGAAAATCACATTGTATGATTTTTAAGTAATTAATTTGCATTTTATTGCATGACATAAGTATTTGATCACCTACCAACCAGTAAGAATTCCGGCTCTCACAGACCTGTTAGTTTTTCTTTAAGAAGCCCTCCTGTTCTCCACTCATTACCTGCATTAACTGCACCTGTTTGAACTCGTTACCTGTATAAAAGACACCTGTCCACACACTCAATCAAACAGACTCCAACCTCTCCAAAATTACAGACCTCTACATGCTTTGTATTATATAAATATTTTTAATATGGAGTTTAAGGGAGGTGATACAGTGCCTTGCAAAAGTATTCATCCCCCTTGGCGTTTTTCCTATTTTGTTGCATTACAACCTGTAATTTAAATGGATTTTTATTTGGATTTCATTTAATGGACATACACAAAATAGTCCAAATTGGTGAAGTGAAATTCAAAAAAATTAATAACGGAAAAGTGGTGCGTGCATATGTATTCACCCCCTTTGCTATGAAGCCCCTAAATAAGATCTGGTGCAACCAATTACCTTCAGAAGTCACATAATTAGTTAAATAAAGTCCACCTGTGTGCAATCTAAGTGTCACATGATCTCAGTATATATACACCTGTTCTGAAAGGCCCCAGAGTCTGCAACACCACTAAGCAAGGGGCACCACCAAGCAACCAGGCACCATGAAGACCAAGTATCTCTCCAAACAGGTCAGGGACAAAGTTGTGGAGAAGTACAGATCAGGGTTGGGTTATAAAAAAATATTCGAAAATTTGAACATCCCACAGAGCACCATTAAATCCATTATTAAAAAATTGAAAGAATATGGCACCACAACAAATCTGCCAAGAGAGGGCCGCCCACCAAAACTCACGGACCAGGCAAGGAGGGCATTAATCAGAGAGGCAACAAAGAGACCAAAGATTACCCTGAAGGAGCTGCAAAGCTCCAGAGCAGAGATTGGAGTATCTGTCCATAGGACCACTTTAAGCCATACACTCCACAGAGCTGGGCTTTATGGAAGAGTGGCCAGAAAAACGCCATTGCTTAAAGAAAAAAATAAGCAAACACGTTTGGTGTTCACCAAAAGGCATGTGGTAGACTCCCCAAACATATGGAAGAAGGTACTCTGGTCAGATTAGACTAAAATTGATATTTTTGGCCATCAAGGAAAATGCTATGTCTGGCGTAAACCCAACACCTCTCATCACCCCGAGAACACCATCCCCACAGTGAATCATGGTGGTGGCAGCATCATGCTGTGGGGATGTTATTCATCGGCAGGGACTGGAAAACTGGTCAGAATTGAAGGAATGATGGATGGCGCTAAATACAGGGAAATTCTTTTGGGAAACATGTTTCAGTCTTCCAGAGATTTGAGACTGTGATGGAGGTTCACCTTCCAGCAGGACAATGACCCTAAGCATACTGCTAAAGCAACACTCGAGTGGTTTAAGGGGAAACATTTAAAGTGGTAGGCATGTTGTGTAAATCAAATGATACAAAAAAAAAATGTTTTTTTTTTTAATTCCAGGTTGTAAGGTAACAAAATAGGAGAAATGCCAAGGGGGGGTGAATACTTTCGCAAGCCAATGTATGTTGTGTTCCTTTTTGATTTTTGATTCTTGTTGTGTCCTTATTTTACATGATGTTGTATTACACCCTGGTCTCCATGGTGACCCACCCTGTATAAATAAAATTCACGTTCACAGGGCTCCCTTGTAAATGAGACCCTGGTCTCCATGGTGACCCAACCTGTAGAAATAAAAGCATGACATAGTGACTGTCTAAAAACAACATGTTGTATCATTCTAACACAATCCTGACCAATGACTGACCTATCGTACACATCCTACATCCCATCATTGTCCCACATCTTCTGATGTGCTGATATGTTATATTTATTTTTCCTCAGAGGAAACTGAAGAAGGAAGTGTCTGAAAGGAGTGACTACGTGAACATTAAGCCTGGAGAGAAGACAGGGCCTAAGAGAATCCACCATCCAGTCACCAGGAGATTCTGATTCTGGCCTTCCTATGGATGTGTACCCTATTCTCTATGGGAAAAATATCATCTCCCAAAAATGCTAACCTCCCCTGTTATTGTAATGGTGAGAGGTTAGCATGTGTTGGGGGTATGAAATATAATCCTAACCTCCCCTGTTATTGTAATGGTGAGAGGTTAGGATGTGTTGGGGGTATGATATAAAATGCTAACCTCCCCTGTTATTGTAATGGTGAGAGGTTAGCATGTGTTGGGGGTATGAAATATAATCCTAACCTCCCCTGTTATTGTAATGGTGAGAGGTTACCATGTGTTGGGGGTATGATATAAAATGCTAACCTCCCCTGTTATTGTAATGGTGAGAGGTTAGCATGTCTTGGTGGTATGATATAAAATGCTAACCTCCCCTGTTATTGTAATGGTGAGAGGTTAGCATGTCTTGGGGGTATGATATAAAATGCTAACCTCCCCTGTTATTGTAATGGTGAGAGGTTAGCATGTCTTGGGGGTATGGTATTTGTGCGTCTGTAACTTTCTCACTCATCATTATTCACAATTCATTCAGGATTATCCGTAACCATGGTAGCATCCACATTAATGTAGAAGTGTTTAGAAACATATTATATTCTTATTTACAATAAAAGTGACTCCAAAATGACACAATACATTATTTACCATTCATTTCTATTGGCCACAAAATAATCAAATCAAATCTTATTTGCCACATGCGCCAAATACAACAGGTGTAGACATTACAGCGAAATGCGATACTTAACCAATAATGCAGTTTTTAAGAAAATAAAAAGTGTTAAGTAAAAAATAGATTAGTAAAAATTTATAATTAATAATAATAATAATAACATTAATAATTAAAGAGCAGCAGTAAATAAAATAACAGTAGGGAGGCTATATACAGGGGGTACCGGTACAGAGTCAATATACAGGCTATATACAGCTATATACAGGGGGTACCGGTACCAAGTCAATATACAGGCTATATACAGGCTATATACAGGGGGTACCGGTACCAAGTCAATATACAGGCTACATACAGCTATATAGAGGGGGTACCGGTACCGAGTCAATATACAGGCTATATACAGCTATATACAGGGGCTATATACAGGCTATATACAGGGGGTACCGGTACAGAGTCAATATACAGGCTATATACAGCTATATACAGGGGTACCGGTACAGAGTCAATATACAGGCTATATACAGGCTATATACAGGGGGTACCGGTACAGAGTCAATATACAGGCTATATACAGGCTATATACAGGGGGTACCGGTACCGAGTCAATATACAGGCTATATACAGGCTATATACAGCTATATACAGGGGGTACCGGTACAGAGTCAATATACAGGCTATATACAGCTATATACAGGGGGTACCGGTACCAAGTCAATATACAGGCTATATACAGGCTATATACAGGTGGTACCGGTACAGAGTCAATATACAGGCTATATACAGCTATATACAGGGGGTACCGGTACCGAGTCAATATACAGGCTATATACAGCTATATACAGGGGGTACCAGTACAGAGTCAATATACAGGCTATATACAGGCTATATACAGGGGGTACCGGTACCGAGTCAATATACAGGCTATATACAGGCTATATACAGGGGGTACCGGTACCGAGTCAATATACAGGCTATATACAGGCTATATACAGCTATATACAGGGGGTACCGGTACAGAGTCAATATACAGGCTATATACAGCTATATACAGGGGGTACCGGTACCGAGTCAATATACAGGCTATATACAGGGGGGTACCGGTACAGAGTCAATATACAGGCTATATACAGCTATATACAGGGGGTACCGGTACAGAGTCAATATACAGGCTATATACAGCTATATACAGGGGGTACCGGTACCGAGTCAATATACAGGCTATATACAGGCTATATACAGCTATATACAGGGGGTACCGGTACAGAGTCAATATACAGGCTATATACAGCTATATACAGGGGGTACCGGTACAGAGTCAATATACAGGCTATATACAGCTATATACAGGGGGGTACCGGTACCGAGTCAATATACAGGCTATATACAGCTATATACAGGGGGTACCGGTACAGAGTCAATATACAGGCTATATACAGCTATATACAGGGGGTACCGGTACAGAGTCAATATACAGGCTATATACAGGGGGTACCGGTACAGAGTCAATATACAGGCTATATACAGGCTATATACAGGGGGTACCGGTACAGAGTCAATATACAGGCTATATACAGGGGGTACTGGTACAGAGTCAATATACAGGCTATATACAGCTATATACAGGGGGTACCGGTACAGAGTCAATATACAGGCTATATACAGGCTATATACAGCTATATACAGGGGGTACCGGTACAGAGTCAATATACAGGCTATATACAGGGGGTACCGGTACAGAGTCAATATACAGGCTATATACAGCTATATACAGGGGGTACCGGTACAGAGTCAATATACAGGCTATATACAGCTATATACAGGGGGTACCGGTACCGAGTCAATATACAGGCTATATACAGGCTATATACAGCTATATACAGGGGGTACCGGTACAGAGTCAATATACAGGCTATATACAGCTATATACAGGGGGTACCGGTACAGAGTCAATATACAGGCTATATACAGCTATATACAGGGGGTACCGGTACCGAGTCAATATACAGGCTATATACAGCTATATACAGGGGGTACCGGTACAGAGTCAATATACAGGCTATATACAGCTATATACAGGGGGTACCGGTACAGAGTCAATATACAGGCTATATACAGGGGGTACCGGTACAGAGTCAATATACAGGCTATATACAGGCTATATACAGGGGGTACCGGTACAGAGTCAATATACAGGCTATATACAGGGGGTACTGGTACAGAGTCAATATACAGGCTATATACAGCTATATACAGGGGGTACCGGTACAGAGTCAATATACAGGCTATATACAGGCTATATACAGCTATATACAGGGGGTACCGGTACAGAGTCAATATACAGGCTATATACAGCTATATACAGGGGGTACCAGTACAGAGTCAATATACAGGCTATATACAGCTATATACAGGGGGTACCAGTACAGAGTCAATATACAGGCTATATACAGGCTATATACAGGGGGGACCGGTACAGAGTCAATATACAGGCTATATACAGCTATATACAGGGGGTACCGGTACAGAGTCAATATACAGGCTATATACAGGGGGGTACCGGTACCGAGTCAATATACAGGCTATATACAGCTATATACAGGGGGTACCGGTACAGAGTCAATATACAGGCTATATACAGGCTATATACAGGGGGTACCGGTACCGAGTCAATATACAGGCTATATACAGGCTATATACAGGGGGTACCGGTACAGAGTCAATATACAGGCTATATACAGCTATATACAGCTATATACAGGGGGTACCGGTACAGAGTCAATATACAGGGGCTATATACAGCTATATACAGGGGGTACCAGTACATAGTCAATATACAGGCTATATACAGGGGGTACCGGTACCGAGTCAATATACAGGCTATATACAGCTATATACAGGGGGTACCGGTACAGAGTCAATATACAGGCTATATACAGGCTATATACAGGGGGGACCGGTACAGAGTCAATATACAGGCTATATACAGCTATATACAGGGGGTACCGGTACAGAGTCAATATACAGGCTATATACAGGGGGTACCGGTACCGAGTCAATATACAGGCTATATACAGCTATATACAGGGGGTACCGGTACAGAGTCAATATACAGGCTATATACAGGCTATATACAGGGGGTACCGGTACCGAGTCAATATACAGGCTATATACAGGCTATATACAGGGGGTACCGGTACAGAGTCAATATACAGGCTATATACAGCTATATACAGCTATATACAGGGGGTACCGGTACAGAGTCAATATACAGGGGCTATATACAGCTATATACAGGGGGTACCAGTACATAGTCAATATACAGGCTATATACAGGGGGTACCGGTACCGAGTCAATATACAGGCTATATACAGCTATATACAGGGGGTACCGGTACAGAGTCAATATACAGGCTATATACAGGCTATATACAGGGGGGACCGGTACAGAGTCAATATACAGGCTATATACAGCTATATACAGGGGGTACCAGTACAGAGTCAATATACAGGCTATATACAGCTATATACAGGGGGTACCGGTACAGAGTCAATATACAGGCTATATACAGGGGGTACCGGTACAGAGTCAATATACAGGCTATATACAGCTATATACAGGAGGTACCGGTACCGAGTCAATATACAGGCTATATACAGCTATATACAGGGGGTACCGGTACCGAGTCAATATACAGGCTATATACAGCTATATACAGGGGGTACCGGTACAGAGTCAATATACAGGCTATATACAGGCTATATACAGGGGGTACCGGTACCGAGTCAATACACAGGCTATATACAGTCTATATACAGGGGGTACCGGTACAGAGTCAATATACAGGCTATATACAGCTATATACAGCTATATACAGGGGGTACCGGTACAGAGTCAATATACAGGGGCTATATACAGGCTATATACAGGGGGTACCGGTACAGAGTCAATATACAGGCTATATACAGCTATATACAGGGGGTACCGGTACAGAGTCAATATACAGGCTATATACAGGCTATATACAGCTATATACAGGGGGTACCGGTACAGAGTCAATATACAGGCTATATACAGCTATATACAGGGGGTACCGGTACAGAGTCAATATACAGGCTATATACAGCTATATACAGGGGGTACCAGTACAGAGTCAATATACAGGCTATATACAGGCTATATACAGGGGGGACCGGTACAGAGTCAATATACAGGCTATATACAGCTATATACAGGGGGTACCGGTACAGAGTCAATATACAGGCTATATACAGGGGGTACCGGTACCGAGTCAATATACAGG